GATAGCAAGAGATGGAAAGCAAAAGGCACAGGATCATAGGAACTTCTGCCTCAAATTCTCACCTGAAGAGGCTGTCAAGGAGTCAGTAAAAAAAGTAGTAGACTCCTTGTATAGGAGAAGTCCTCTGGGGCAGATGGAAGACTCCTGGCCTGGCCCTTGAGACCTTTCCTTAGGAGGTACACTGTGTCCATCAGGAGATGGAAGACACAAGCGTCAAGGTCTAAGAACTTTTGGCTTTTCTTCTCACCTGAAGAGACCATTGAGCTCTCATTTCTTTCCTCAATTTTTTCTCTACCACTCTTATTTGATTTTTAAATCTTTTTCCTTTTTTAAAAATGATCTCTTTACATCTTCTAGGAATTCTTGTTGGGCATGTGTCCAATCTGCAATTTTCTTTCAATGCTTTGTGTGTAGATGTTCTCACATGCTCATTCCAATCCATTTCTTGACTTTGGACTTTATGTTGCATTGGGCTCTGCTCAGTTGTTGGGGGAGGGTGGGAGAAATAGATGGCCTGAGCTTCTATCTTTTTATTTCCTTCTGCTGCTTTCACAGCTCAGTCTGGTGCTAAGTTGTCAGTGCTTCCAACAGGCTGTGATCTGAGGAAAGATCTGTTCACTGTGCTGCAAGTTCCTCACCTTATTTGGGTTTGTGGATTGCGCTTCTGTGGTTGCTGCAGGACTCAGTCACTATGAGCGCCGGGAAGATTCTACAATTTCACAGTTACTGACCTGTTGGCTCTCTTCATCTTGGTTGCCTGCCCTGGTTTATTCCTCTGCAGGCTTATGTTCAGGACCAAAAGTTAGAGCTGAGTCTTCATTCTGTTCTTGGGCTCAGAGCCACACAGTTAGGTTTCTGGAATTTGTTTTGCTCCTTTCACAAACAGAGCCCTTCCTCCCCCCAACCTAATCACTTTACCTTCCTGTGCCTTAGTTTCATTATCTGTAAAATGAAGGGATTAGATTAGCTGATTTTTAAGTTCTATTCAGTCCTAAGATATTAAGCTATGGAATAAATGAGCATGATTCTACTACTGAATGGAATATTAAATGAGAATTTAATTTTTCTACATAAATAACATGAGTTAAATTCATAAAAGAAAAACTGACAAGGCAATATAAGATAAGAGAGAGAAATCTAACAATATTAACAAAATTGCATAAGAATGTGATGATTCAAACAAAATTAAGCAACAGAGGTGGAGTCTAGATGGTAGAATAAAGGCAGGGACTCACCTGAGCTCTCCTAAATTCCCCTCCAAACAACTCTAAAATAATATCTCAAAACAAACTTTGGAATGGCAGAACCAACAACAAAAGAACAGAATGAAACAATTTTCTAGCCCAAGAAAACTTAGAAGCTTGGCAGAAAAGATCTGTCTCACTAGGGTGAGAGTGGAGCACAGTCCAACTGAATCAGCAGCATTATCTTCCAGATCTCCCAGCCCACAGACAATAAAAGGGTTGGACTATTGGTCACAAAGAGATAACAGGCATCCCTTTGCCACTACTCAGTGCAGGACTCTGCATTGCTCATACACAGTTCTGAAGAGAACTCCTTAAAAAGCAGAACTAGCTACATGGAAAAAGATGTACAAAAAACCACTGAAGAAAAGAATTCCTTAAAAAATAGAACTGGCCAAATGGAAAAGCAGGAACAAAGGCTCACTGAAGAAAATAATTCTTTAAAAATGAGAATTGGGCAACAGGAAGCTAATGACTCCATGAGACATCAAGAAACAATAAAACAAAATCAAAGAATGAAAAAAATAGAAGAAAATGTGAAATATCTCATTGGAAAAATAGATAAAGGACAGAGAATTTAAGAACTACTAGACTACCTGAAAGCCATGATAAAAAAAATAGCCTAGACATCATCTCTGAAGAAATTAAGGAAAACTTCCCTGATATTCTAAAGCCAGAGGGTAAAACAGAAATTGACAGAATCCACCGATCACCTTCTGAAAGAGATCTCAAAATGAAAACTCTCAGGAATATCATAGCCAAATTCCAGAGCTCCCAGGTAAAGGAGAAAATATTGCAAACAGCCAGAAAGAAACAATTCAAATATCATGGAACCACAGTCAGGCTAACACAAGATTTAGCAGCTTCTACATTAAAGGATTAGAGGGCTTAGGATATGATATTCTGGAGGGCAAAGGCACTAGTATTAGAACCAAGAATCACCTGCCTGGTAAAAATGAGTATGATCTTTTAGGGGGGAAAATGGACACCTAATGAAAGATGACTTTCAAGCATTCCTGATGGAAAGAACAGAGCTGAATAGAAAATCTGACTTTCATATACAAGACTCAAGAGAAGCATAAAAAGGTAAACAAGAAAGAAAAATCATAAGGCATTCAATAAGGTTAAACTGTTTATATTCCTGCATGGGAAGATGATACTTGTAATTCCTAAGAGCTTTATCATTATTAGGGCAGTTGGAAGGAGTATACATAGAGGGCATCAGTATGAATTGACTATAATGGGATGATACCTAAAAAAAAAAATTAAGGGATGAGAAAGAGGGATATACTGGGAGAAGGGGGAAAGGAGAGGTAGAGTGGGGTAAATTATCTCACATAAAAGAGGCACAGAAGAGCTTTTACAGGGAAGACAGGAGGGTGGTGGATAATACTTGAACCTTACTTTCATCGGAATTGGCTCAAAGAGGGAATAACATGCACACTCAGTTAGGTATAGAAATCTATATTACCCTACAGGGAAATAGGAGGGGAAGGGGATAAGAGAAGGGTAGGGCTGATAGAAGGAAGGGAGGACTGGAGGACATGATGATCAGAAGCAAAATACTTTGGAGGAGGGATAGAGTGGAAGGAGAGAGAGAAAGAGAGAAGGATAAATGGGGAAAATAGGATGGAGGGAAATACACAGCAATTAAAACTGTGGGAAAAATTTTATAGCAAGTTTCTCTGATAAAGGCCTCATTTCTCAAATATATAGACAGCTGGGTCAAATTTATAAGAATACATGTCCTTCCCCAATTAATAAATAGTCAAAGGATAGGAACAGGTAGTTCTCAAATAAAGAGATCAAAGCTGTCTATAGTCATATGAAAAAATGCTCTAAATAAACATTCTTTAGAGAAATGCAAATTAAAACAACTCTGAAATACCATCTCATCCCTATTAGATTGGTCAATATGACAGAAAAGGAAAGTGACAAATGTTGGAGGGGACATGGGAAAATTGGGACACTAAGGAGTGTTGGTGGAATTATGAACTAATTCAGCCATTCTGAAGTGCAGTTTGGAACTATGCCTGAAGGGCTATAAAACCATGCATACCCTTTGACCAAGCAATAGCACTATTGGGTATCCCAAAGAGATTTTTAAAAAAAGGAAAAGGACCTATATATAGAAAACCTCTATAGCAGTTCTTTTTGTGGTGGCAAAGAACTGGAAATTTAAGGGATGCCCATCAACTGGGGAATGGCTAAACAGATTATAGTATGTGACTGTGATGGAATTCTATTGTGCTATAAAAAATGATGAGCAGAATGTTTTCAGAAATACCTGGAAAGACTTACATGAACTGATGCAAAGTGAAATGAGCAGAACCAGAAGAACAGTGTACACAGTAACAGCAATATTGTGCAATGATCAACTGTGAATAATGCAGCTATTCTCAGCAATACAATGATCCAAGAAAATTCCCAAGGACTTAATGATGAAAAATGCTATCCACTTCCAGAGGAAGAACTGATGGAGTCTGAATGCAGATTGAAGCAAACTTTTTTTAATTTTATTTTTCATGGGTTGGGGTTTTTTTTGTTTTGTTTTTCACAAGACTAATATGAAAATATACTTTGTATGACTACACATGTACAATCTATATCAAACTGCTTGCCATCTCAGGGAAGGAAGAGGTGAGGGACAGAGGGAAAAAATTTTGTACTCAAAATTTTTCAAAATGAATGTTAAAAATTGTTTTTGCATCTAATTGGAAAAAATAAAATCTTTAAAACAAAAAAATTTGACAAGTCTAAATATTAATGACATTAACAACTTGAAATTACAAGATACCTGAAGAGAACTAAAGGAAATGATCAGATAAAGAACATTTCTCTCAAGTACACAAGGATATCACAAAAATTTATAATACAGGCAACAAAGAAGCTCTTTGTAATACAAAATCACAATTTGTATGTACAACTTTTCAGACTATAATCAATAACAGATGACTTGAAAGACAACAAAATTATAATGATACAACATCTAGAGAATTCAGGCAGGGAATGTAGATAATTTAATAAATGGCTCTCCGAAAAAAGTATGCATTATATACTTTTAAGTTTAATCTCCATCACTAAAATTTTCTCCATAATTTTCTAACTGTAAACAATCAACCCTTGATTTGTAGCATTTGCCTATTTCCAAAGTATAAACGCTCACACTGAAAATTTAACAATCAGCTCTCTCAAGTCAGTATGAACATGCCCCTGACAATACAGTGGGTATCTAGGTAAATTTATAATAATGAACACATAACAACTGAATTACAAAACCATGATCAATAAGAGATGAACAAGCTCATATACATGGCACATTTGTCCAACAAAGCATTAGATAACTTTAATAATAATAGTGATAATGACAATAGCTAACTGCCAGGCACTCTGCTAAGCACTTTATAATTATTAACTCACTTGACCTTCACAACAAGCCTGGGAAGTAGGTGCCTATTTTACAGATGAGGAAACTGAGGCAAAGAGATTCAGTGACTTTCCTACAGTTACATAGCTAGTAATTATCTGAGGCTGGATTAGAACTCAGGACTTCTTGACTCCAGGCCTGGCATTCTATCTACTGCACTACCTAGTCTTCTGGCATACTATGTAAAGCAGGGTATCAAAGATAAGAATGTCCATACAGACAAATGAACTGAATGAAATAACTTGTCAGAGAGATAACTTAGTTAAAACTTTTATTATTAAACCTTTATATAAAGAAATCAATAAAAGGAAGATCAAAATAAAGAATACCTTATCATGTCCTGCATCTCCTCCTCTGACAATATCAGGTGCCATATATTCTATAGTTCCACAAAAGGAATATGCTCTTTCAGTCTGAAAAAAAAGTCATCAACAAAAAAATACAACATGAAATGGTTAAGACTAGCCTTATACTTAGGTGAAATAAGCAATCATCTACATCAGTGGTGTCAAATTCAAATAGAAATGAGGCCACTAAACTGTACCTAAAGATCCCATTCTATTGTATATTCACTTAGAAAACCACATATCAACACTATCCATGTTCTACTGTATTTTTATTTATTTTGTTAAATATTGCCCAATTATATTTAAATCTAGTTTGGTAAAAGAGTATTGGGTATCACCTGTTGGATACCTCTGATACACATGACAGAAGAAAGAACACAAAAAAAAAGTTCCTTCTCTCTAGCTCTCAAAAAATATCACTCTTTGTAAGTGGACCCTTTCAGGTATCTGTTTATCAATCAATCAACCAATCAACAAGTATTTATTAAGCACCTACTATGTGTCAAGTACTGTACAGGCTCTGAATTCAAGAAATCAATCAATGCCTATTTTAAAAGAATTTGCAGTCTAATGTGGAAAACAATTTAATATGTGAACATAAATATTACAAAATATATGTAAAACTTGCACATATACTTTGTTGTATATATGTGACATTGATATATCTCTATATGGATATAAATTTATATAATATGCACATATAAATGTATACTGAGTAAATAAAAAGATAACAAGGAAGGGAAGATTCCAGGAATCTAAGCACTGTTTAGGAGTGAAGAAGTGTGCTGCTATGAAGAGTATTAGATTTTTGGTCTGACGACATAATTCCAAATCTTTCCTTGCAGAATGTGTGACCTTGGGATGGTCACTCAACCACTTTGGCCCTTAGTTCTTTTATCTATCAAATGAAGGAATTGGGTCAGATAACCTCTTAGGTTTCTTTCAGCTCTAAATCCAGCTTTTATGACTTTAATGTAAATTCATTTATTACATCTCTTTCTACCCAGAGAGGAAAATGGAAAGTGTGTGTTGGAGGTTGAGGGGAAGGAGGGAGTGTATTTCCAACAGGAAGATAAACTTCTCAGCTGTACCATACTGCCTAGACACAGCTTTAAGAGTGAAAATATGGTATCAAGCAATTAAGCATTTATTAAGTGTCTACTAAGTGTGAGGTGTTTGTATTAGGTGACAAAGATACAAATATTAAAGACAAACAGTCTGCCATCAGGGAACTATATTCTGACGAGAAGACAATATGTACATGTATAGCTCTCTCTCTTTCCATACACACACACACACACACACACACACACACACACACACACACACAATGTGTATATTACATATAATGTGGATATACATATAAAGTACCTTAGGAAAGGAAGAAACTCATACCTGGGAGGAGTAGGAAAGGCTTCACATAGAAGGGGGTATTTGAATGGAATCCTGAAGGAAAGGGATTCCAAGAGGTGGAGGTAAGAAGGAAGTACATCGTGGGCATGGAAGGCAGCCAGTGCAAAGGCACAGAGATAAAAGAGTGTCACATGAGAGGAACGGCAAGCAGGCCAGGATGGCTGGATGGAGGGGACTAACATGAAGGAAGGCAAGAAAGACAAAATGGGCCTCTGTTGTGAAGAGTTTTTAATGTTAGATGTGAAATTTGATCCTTGATGAAATAGGGAGCTACCAGAGTTTGAGGAGAAGAATGACAAAGTCAGACCTGTACTTTAGGAAAATTCCTTTGCTGTATGTAGGAACAAAAGATCAAGAATGTCTTTTTTTTTAATGTAAATAGTATTTTATTTTTTTTTCCAACTACATGTGAAGAAAGTTTTTAACATTCATTTTTATAAGATTCTGAGTTCCAAATTTTTCTCCCTACTTCCCTCCCCTCTCCCCTCCCCAAGATGGCAAACAATCTAATATGGGTTATGTATGTGTAATCATGTTAAACATATTTCCACATTAGTCATGTTGTGAAAGAAGAAACAAAACAAAAGGAAAAAAATCACCAAAAAATCCTCAAAGAAAGTGAAAATAGTATGCTTCCATTTGCATTCAGACTCCCATCAGTTCTTCCTCTGGATATGGATAAAACGTCAAGAATCTCAAGGATATAATGGAAAAAAATTGGGAACGAAAGGGGTCTAGGAGGATCAAATACCAAACTACACTACAAAACTGTAATTATCAAAAGAAACCAAAACTGCTTAAAAATAGGTAGATACACAGAAGAATGCTACTCATCTCCTGAGAGAGAGGTAATAGATTAAAATGCAGAATAAAACATTTTTAGATGTGGCCAATATTGGAATTTGTTTTGCTGCTCTGTTTGGTTTCAACTCCCTGGAATAAGATGCCTCTTCCAGGATAAGCTGATCACTTGAAATCTCTTCATCATGCTGCTTACTCAGCCTTGGATACCCAACTCCCACCTCCTGCAGCCTCCTCTCTCCTTTGATTAGAGGGAGACATACAGATGTACCCCACGGTGTTCCCCTTCTCTCTGTCCCCTTCTACTTTCCATCTTCCTTTTGAGTGTTGTCTTCCTTCAAGAGATTATAAGCTCCCTGAGGGCAGGGAATGCCTTCCAGCCCTTAGCATAGAGCCTGACACACAGAAGGCACTTAATAAATATTTATTGACTTGATTGACCCTGGGAGTCCTGAAAATGTATAGGTTCCCAGCCTCAGCTGTCTCAAATCTTAGAGTAATATTAAACTTGTTGCAGCAAGAAACAAGCCTCAGGACCCAAGAGAGCATAAAACAAGACCAAGCACAGCACAGCCATTTCCTACAGAAGTATTTAATAGAGCCTGGTCCTCACACAAAGTCAGAAGTTTAATTTTTTAAGGATCTGGGAGACATGGGTGTTTGTAGCCAGGAGACAGGAAAAGACTGAAGATAAGTGAGAGAGTGAAGATGATAGAGTGGGCAATCTTCTACAGAAGTCAGCATGGAATAAGATCACTTGTGCATGTACAAGGGTTGCCTTTATAAGGAGATGGGTCATCTCTTCAAGTGAGACAAGGGTAAAGGTGGAGAAAGTGGCAGAAGGCATCTGGAAAATGGGAGATGAGAAGGACAGGAGAAGAGGAAACTCTCAGCACATGGCCTCAATTTTTTCTGCAAAATATGAGCAAGGTTCTCAGCTGAAATCTAGGCTTGGGTCTCTAAGCAACACAACTATGGGCTTACCCTTGACTGGAGTTCCAGTGGACTTTTGCTTGAGTCAATCACCATTAGCCAGCTGAAAAGCTCCATAGGTTCAGAATGTTAGAACTGCAGGCCTTCTTTGGTTTGGGCTTCTTGCCCTGATTATTCTGCTACAGGTTTTAGACCTGGCCAGGGGCTGGAATCTGACACTCTACCCCACTATACTTCTAAGATAAGAGACGACTTTTGCTTGTTTCTGTACTTGTACCTTCCTCAGCTCACAGCCCAGGGCTCATGACTGCTCCTTGATATTCGCTAGCCCCTAGGTGCAAGGTCTCTCCTCATTCTGTGCTATTATATACCAGCAGTAGGCAGTAAGCAACAGAGTTGCCAGGTGGTCCCTGTTTCTAATCCCAAGGTCAGGCCCCTCTTCTAGATCTGAGCCTTATTCATGCTTTGATGAACTGTTGCAGGCAGGCCCTCACTTAGCCCCTGCTCTGTGCTCTGTACATCTTTTCTAGGCTAGATTCCATGCCCAGTGTCTGTAGACCTGTGTATCTCCTTATGACCATCTGGACTAGAAAAAATGACACAGTGTGATTTTTTTTCTTGTATTTCTCAATCAAAACTTGGTCAGGGAGCACCTAGGTGGCACAGTGTCGATAGAGCACCAGCCCTGAAGTCAGGAGGACCTGAGTTCAAATCCGGCCTCAGATCAAACACTTGACACTTACTAGCTATGTGACCTTGGGCAAGTCACTTAACCCCAATTGCCTTAAAAACAAAAAAACAAAAACAAAAAAAACAAACTTGGTCAGAAATGTTTTCTAGACTTTTGTGGAGACATTTTGTGTATTTGGGAAGACACTGGCTATACTATTTCCTCCTATTCTGCAATCTTGTCTTAAGCAGACATTCTTTTTTATTATTGACCTTTTGGTCAAAATATGGACTGTCTCAGTCACTTTCTTAGGCATATTTTGAAACTGCTTTCTAGAATTGCTGCACCAATTCATAGTTCCATCAATAGTATACCAGTGTGCTTTTCTTTCCACAACCCCTCCAACAAGATTATTACTATCTTTTTTTGTCTTTTCCAATTTGACAGCTATGAGTCAAAAACTGGGTTGTTTTGATTTGCATTTATTATTTGTGACTTGGAGCATTTTTCTCATAGCTTTTATAGCTTGCAGTTCTTCTGAGATCCATTTGTCCATGCCATTTGACCTTTTATTTACTGAAGAGTAGCTTTTAGTCTTGTCTCTTTCTCTTGGTTACCTTTACATCTTAGATACCAGACCCTTCTCTCAAAGATCTTTGATACAAAGATTCCTCTTTCATCCATCAACCACTACTCTTATTTTCAGTTTCATGTAATTGAAATGATCTATTTTATCTTTTGTGGTCAGTCATTTTTAAAAATTAAGAATCCTAATCATAGCTATGGGAGGTACCTCATCTGGTGTACTTCTAATTTTTTGTTTTTACTGTTTAGGTTACATATACATTTTGAGTTCATTAGGGCATATGTTGGTCTAAGCCTAATTTATGCCAAACTGCTCTCTAGTTGTCCCAGCAATTCTTATTAAATAGAGAGTTTTCTCCTGGGTAATTTATGTTTTCAGGTTTGTTGATGACAGGGTAATTGAGTTAAAATATTTCTGATTCTTCCTTGTCTAGCCTGTTCTACCATCTCTTTCTATTTCCTAACTAATACCCAATAATTTTGATGATTACAGTTTGAGGTAATGAGGTGCTGTTTCTCCTTATTCCTACTTTTATTTCCATTCTTTCTCTTGCCATTTTAGATCTTTCATTTTTATTTGTCTAGCCTTTTGGTAGTCTGGTTGCTATAGCACTAATTCTATAACTGGTAGTATTATCATTTTTATTATATTGACATGGCACAG